TTGGTTTCCTCTTATGAATAGTGAAAACTTCTCTGAGATATGACTTTTCTTTACAGTATAGATATTAAGGCCAACATTTTTTCAAAAAGAAATCCAAGGTGGGAGAAGGTTTGATTTATTAGAGTACATTTTCCCTGATACATTGAAATCAAAGTTCCACCTTTTAGATGATTACAAACACCATAAAATAAACCCCACATTTCACTTGTCTCATAACCAAACGTGCTGCCTGGCAACCCATCTAAATGGAGCTGCCAGTCTTGCAGTGTTAGGCAAGCATTTTGACGTCTACCGTGGGATTACAAAGGGGCTGAGGAGGCTGCCTTGCTAAACTCAAACAGAAGATTTTGGCAGCTCAGCTTCTCTGAGAGGTTTAGACTGCAGGTTAAAAGTAATAGCCCTTGTCACTTCACATAGTCTTGTTATTGGAGATATTTAGTGCTCAGGCTGGACTTTGGGGGTAGTATCCAGGGTGTGATAATGTTGCTTCACGCATCAGTGAACACGATATTGATTGTGAGCTGACATGGCTTGGGCACACTTTATGGTACTCTACTAGGCTGCCTTCAATAATGAATCATGCCATGTCTTAACTGTGCACACATTATCTAAGACAGCAGAAAGAGTAATAGGTTTCCACCTCTCCTTAGTGCACCTCTTGAAAATCTCTCTAGCTCTTCTGAAGTAAGGCAAGCATTGAAGAAATTAGGCAGACTCCTTTTTGCAATGCTTTTGTCAAATGTTGGATTATTGAAGGAGCACGGCCAAAGAGCTTTAGAGAATCTTCCCCTCCCATGGCAATGAATCAAAATGTCCGGTGCCAAGACAATGAAGCTTAGTGCTTTCCTAAGTAAAGACATGGGTGAAATAATCAGAGACAGAGTGAAAAATCTAGTGCCTCCCAAGCCTTTCTAGCCAACACACTTTGAAACAGAACTGTGGTAATGTATAAAATGTATAAAAACCCTGAACAATCTTCAGAGTCACTTCCACCAAACTCGCTACTGAATCTTTTCCATTAAAGAAGATAATCCACAATTATGTCAGTTGTGAACTAAAGCTGAGTGGTCTGTTTTATATAACTTTCTACTCTTGTCATGAATATGGCTGATACAATCTTAATAGTATTTGCAATAGTAAAGTTGTAATACTTTTGGCAGCGTGGAATAGCCTGTCAGCCAATAGTCAGGTAAGATAGTTCCTGCCCAGAAATGAGGATTACAGCTTTTAAGAACAACAGACATGGTGTCTAGGGTGAGTTGTTACATAGGATTCATTATAGCAATTGATTTGCTTGTTGCTTATTGTCTTCTCTTATATAATTCTCTTAGCATGTCCCCCAAACCATGATTTGGATTTTTCTTTTTTGGTCACACAGTACTTCTTTGACCAATTCTTGGATCAATTTATGGTTTCTTCCCTTCTTTCTATTTCTTTGATTTTTACTTTAGAAAACCATCTTCAAAGGCTCACCTTGACCATTTCTGCTGCCTCCAGTAAAAATGGAAAGTTCCACATGTCATTAAAGGGAAAATACGGATTAATAATGCAATGGCAATGGAGATGATCAGAAACAATCCCATACTTTGTGAAGTATAGTGCTGCCCCTGAGAGGAACTAGTCTTTCACACGTGTAGGAACGGCCACTTGGCATATAAACCACCCCAGATTAAATGGACAATCTGATCTGAAATTAACAAGTATTTCCTTCATACATGTAAATGTTAGGATTTACAGTTGGTTAGCACAAGAAAAGTAGCTCATTCTTTTGCTGAGGACTGCCATGAAATAACAAGAAAAGTATGTGAAGGAGTATCTTATTCCTTAACATCATGGTGGGCACATGCAACTAGGAATAATTTCTTTCCAGCCCATGGTCTTTTTTTTTTAATCTTCATTGGCCCTGAGTTCTTATATGTGGGTTACTCTTAAGGGACCTCAAGTGTGATGGGAGGCAACCTGGATCCTAGAGGTACGTGACAGAACAGTGTTAATGAGCAAGGACAAGTAAGGACTTCTGTGCATGATATGAACCATAGGACTGGTAAGCTCTTTCTACACAATAGGACTTCTATTCAATATTCTTGGCTAAATCCAGTGTTAGTACTGCCACTCAGTGCTTGATCTCACTTAAATCCCATTAATTTCAATGGGTCTGCTTTGAGTGGAACTAACATTGGCTTCAGCTGACAATAGCATGTTGCATCATTTGGCAATTTATTTTTCACATTCTTACACAACTTCCAAATGTAGTTTATGATGCAGCGGGAGAAGTACATGTTAAGAGGCAAACTCATCTTGTACACCATTGCATATATCCAAACAGAGCCTTTTACTAAATCTTGACAAGACGCAATTCTTACAGTCTCTACCCTTCCATTAGAGAGGCAAAATACACCTCCAAATACAACTATGAAGTGACAAGCCACAGGAAATGGCTACCATTTTTCAACATCCTGTTTGTGAATTTTCCCAGTCACCTTTGCTTGGAACTGCACTAGATTAGCTTTTGTTAGCAGGCAAAGAAACCTCTATAATTTTTCCCTCTTCAGATCACCACCGATACCCCTCAGTTCATAGGAGAAAGTGTGAGGAAGAAAAGTGAAACAAGAGACTCTTAATCTAGATGTTGTTCTTGGTCTGAACAAAGCCCTTTGAATCGGCCGGAGGCTGAGCTTAGTGCTAATCATTTCAGGTTGAGTTCCTCAGCATTTGGATTCACAAACTCCCCATCAGACTACCTAAGAGACACATTTTACTTCTGATACCAGAGTGCAGGCTTTTGTTTGTTTAAGAAAAATGACTCATTTACACTTCCTATTTTTTATGTTTCATTTTTTTAAAAAGAGGTTACTCCTGAAAGCCGTTACTTGTAATAAATTTATAAGCCAGCATACCTTATTTTTCCTGCAATCATTCCTTTAAACAAGGCAAAAAAAGTCTAATTTGCCCCTGACCTGAGCAGTCTTGTGAAGAGCAGGCAGGGTGTTAAATAGTCTAATAAAATCAAAAAGCTGGGTTCCAAACAGTTGAATTTCCTTGCGTTTCCAGCCTACTAAATCAATGTCCCCTTCCCAGGTTCTGTGCAGCCTCACAGCAGTCTGATGTCTCTTGAGAAAGGAGCAGTCACTGTTTGGTTTATCAGATGCCATTCCTGGTAGGCAAGAGAACATGAGGCAAGGCTTCCAAGAACTCCTGTATTGGAAAGTGTGTTTGGAAATTCTTCTATGCTTCATGGCAACAATCACAAAGATTGGAGCAACTACCACCCCACGTTTTCACAATCAGAGAAAATGCACAGCACACTTATCTTCAAAGATCAATCTTGTTAAAGAAACCACTGAGTTTATTTCTTGTAGGAGCTGATCTCTGGTTGTATTTTCTTTCCTTTTGTGTTTGAAGATCCCCCCCTCCCCCCAAATGCTAACCAAATAAAGATGGGACCTGGATTATCCTTGTAGTAGAACAGGAGAGTTTACCATGCAAAGACGAAGAGCTATTGGTAGCTAGTCTTCAAACTGCAGAACCATGGACAACCTCTCTTAGAAAGCAGCCAGGCAATAATAGCATTATTACACGTTGGTTTGGTTTAGTTCTTTTTTAAATGCCATAAAATAGCAACTTAAAGAGTTCTCCCTCCCCACAAAAGGAAGGTCTGGAGGGAATAAGGAGACCTCTGTTGGAACAAATAAATAAATAAATAAATAAACCATAATTTTAAACACACTACTAAAAAAAGAGAAAAAGGAGAACCCCACAAATACACACTGATGACATGCAAAAGATTAAAAGAGAACGACTTTGAGTTCTCCCATTCAAAGCAAAAGCAACATCAAAAATAAAATAACGGGAATTGCAGAAGAAAGCTCAGATTCATTTTGGTTTGTAGGTTATCGCATTTTGGAAGCATTGTTACTATGGTATTTTGCATACCAGCAAAAGGCACCACAGGATGAACACAGCCCAGTCCATACCAGGCTGTTTGTGGGGTGTGATGAAAGAAAGTAACTGCCTTCGATAGCATACATGGTGGTTCACAAACAATGAATCTAAATATTGCCACTGCAAACCTGTCCTTTCTACAACCCCCTCCACCCCATCTGACTTTTTTCCTGTGTGAGGGCCTTTCCAGACAATAAAAAGGACCTTCTTCCTCTTCAGACTAAACAAGCCCTGGCTTAGATCCAATATTATTAATAAAGAAGGGAACCTGCCAGGGGAATTTGAGGAATGGAAAAAGCTGAGTTAGTGTGTGTGGATCACACGCCTGCAAAATAATTTCCCCTTTTAAAAGAAAATTGTGCTCTATAACTGGAGCCAAAGAGAGACAGAATGGAACAAAAGTTAAAGAGCACATTACAAAAAGTGATCATGACAGAGGAAGAGTATTTATCTTGCTAACTAATTTTGAGGGAAGAAAAATGTTTTAGCCTGTCCATTGGCATCAAGTGAGCTTAGAAGTGGTTAGATTGTACTCTCCGAGAGGAGGGGGGGGGAGGTGTCAGAGCTAGGAAAAGTTTGTTTCTTGAATTATGACTCTCAATTGATATTGGGAGGTGTAGTCCCAAAAGACACATTTCCCCCCTTCTGGAAAAAAAATACATTATTGGTGTGGTCATGGTGGAAGCATGTGTCATAAATCAATACTGATGCACATATATGCCAGTTAATACATGTCCATGACATTTGTAAAGCTACAGTACACACGGCACTTCAAAGTCCTCTAGCTGGAGGGGAATAGGAGCGGGAATGGGATTTGCATTTTCTCAAAACCTAATGGTTTTGCAATAAATATAGTAAAATGGGGGGAGAGATCTTTCTGCTCTCACAGTAATTTAGCTGTACCTTAACACTTGCTGTATGATAAGTTATGCACAATAAATGATCATCTGGAAAGGCCCTGAGTTAATAAAATGAATTATTTTTTTTACAAGAAATGGACTTACAAAGGAAAGTGAATTCCTTTTTGTGGACAGATGTAAAACAGGGAAATTCCAAAATCAAAATTAGGATGGTTTAATGCAGTACATCCTTGTTTCATGGCCTTTATCAGATTTCCTTTTTTTTTTTGTAAATATATTATTATAAACTTAACTTTATTATTAAATTGGCAAGGGTCTAGATCACTGTTTTTAAAGAAACTAAATCTACTAGCAAGTACTGGAGAAACTGGAAAGCATAAGTAATTCAAGCTTGCTTTTGAATTAACGGTGTACTCAGAACTCAAATAGTCCAAACAGGCTTTGCTGACCCAATTTCTTAAGATTTGGGGGAAAGCAATAGACATTGGAATCTGAGTGCTTGCCTCTACATAATTAATGCCTGCAGAGGGATAATGAAACAAATGAGGAGGAGAAAAAGAAGAAAACATAAGAAACATTTAAAAACTTGTGTTTGCTAGTATTCAGTACATAAGATTCCTAAGGAATATCACTTTTCCTCCTAGTTAACCTTGTCTTGAAATATATACAGGTTATTCGTTGCTGCCACTGCTATGATATTTTCTGAAGGGTGCCAAGCTGTATGCAGGATCTTTTTGCTAAAGTCCAGACTGTCCACGCTAATTTCATCTTTTCTCCGCTTGCCTCCCACACAAACTTTGCGGGGCTTCAGGATAGCACGGGGTTTACTGTTCTCCCTTGAGGCCTCCAGGGTCACATCACGCTTGGTGTTGCGGTCAAACATTCTGAAGAAATTGTTGTAGGATCCTGTCATGATGACACTGAAAAGCAGCAACGGGTTTGAGTCAAAATCATGCCAGGTGAAATTTAAAGCCATTTCTCATTCCCCATTTCTTTTTCCTCTTCTGTAACATCTATTGCTGCCCACAATTTCACAACTGCCGAGAGCAGTGGTTCTCAACCTGTGAGTCCCCAGATGTTTTGGCTTCCAACTCCCAGAAATCCTAACAGCTGGTAAACTGCCTGGGATTTCTGGGAGTTGTAGGCCAAAACACCTGGGGATCCACAGGTTGAGAATCACTGGCCTAGAGAAATAGAGAATGAAGGGGGCCTTCTGGCCATATGTGAAAGACAACAATCTGCACCTCTAATCACCAAACACATGCCTTTCACAAGGGCCAACGTTTGCCCATGCCTGTTCTAAGCCATTAGAAGAGTTCCCAGTTGGATCTGTGATACTGTTTCTGATACTTGCGTTTCCCTCTCCTCCAATAAACAGATTTTAGATTTCATTCAGCTTCATGTTTAAATGCAACAAAATCAAGACAACATCATATGAAGCAAAATAAATAAGAGGCAGGATGTGCAAATATTTCTGGAAATCACAAACTGAAAGGAAAACCTTTTATATAACCATTCATGGTGCTCCTCACCTGTCAGACCCATTCCACACACATTCAAATTTATCAAAAATGCAGTCGTTCTCATAGAGGGAACACAACTTGCTTCGGAGGTAATCATGAACCTAGAGAGAGAGAGAGAGAGAGAGAGAAGAAATTTTCAGTGAGAGGTGCTTATGTGTGCATAAAACCCTTTTCAGATGAGGTACAAGGAGCTATTTTCTACCCCCATTCCACTCACCTCTAACAATAGTCAGGTTCTAGGGAGTGTTGCCACTGCTCATTATCTATTTATCTGTTATTCAAACTTATATGCCGCCACTCCCCTAGGGCTCGGAGCAGCATACAAGAACAGACTAAAATCTAAAACAATTTTTAAAAAACCAGCAATACCAAAGATCAAAACCCTGTCGAAACAAATATGTCTTACATGCCCTGCGGAACGCTGATAAGTCCCGCAAGGCACGGACTTCAGGTGGCAGAGTGTTTCATTGCGATGGTGCCACTGCTGTAAAGGCTTTGCGTCTGGTTGCTGTTAGACACAAGGTCTTAAAACTGGGAACTTCCAATAAATGTTGGTCTTCAGAATGAAGGGATCTCTGGGGTTGGTAGGGGGTGAGGCGGTCCCTCAGGTACATCAGCCCCAGACCATATAAGGCCTTAAAGGTAAGTACCATCACTTTGAAAGTGATCCGATGCTCAATTGGTAACCAATGCAGCTGCAGTAAGACTGGTGTTATGTGGCATCTCATTGGAGCTCTCGCAAGAAGCTGAGCAGCTGCTTTTTGTACCAACTTGAGCTTCTGGATCACCAACAGAGGGAAAGTAGGCAGGAGAAAATTCACAATGAAGATGTAGCTGCTATGGGCTCTGAGGGGTAGGAAAAAGAGGGCACCCCCTTTTCTTCCTCCCTCCAAGCTGAGGCTAGCTGCCTGTTTCTAATTTGAATGCCTACTCCGCTCCCTGCCTTTGGCCCATTCTCTTTGGTAAAGAGCAGCCACCATTGCTGGGCTTTAACAACTGCCAGAGTGGCAAAGGAAACAAAACTGTACTGGAATGCTTTTCTCTACCTGTTCATGTAGGAGGATCTCAGCCAGCATGTTAAATCTTGATTTCAAAATCTATTGAATCAAAGCAGCATTGTATCTAGTTCTCTGCAGCATAGCATCTTACAGATTTAGATTGGATGTGCTAAGTGATTCAGCGTTCATCCAAGAGCATGAATCATAAAAATGAGACTGGCGACTGCAATAATGGGGATGATCAGAGCTTTCTCCCACGAGGAAAATTTACCCCATTAGCTAAGTGGTTGGAAAGATTAGAAAAGGACAAAAATAATCTTCCAGTGAGGTAAGGAATCTTATTTGGGTTACAAAGATTCACAGAAGGCAGAAGCCGTTTTTTAACCAAGATGCCACTTGAAACTGGGAGAGTAAAATGTTTTGCCGTTGTATTTACATCAAGGATTCAGGAAGGCAAGGGAGAAGGGATGTCAGCAAGGAGAGAGGAGGCCACCTTGCAGTAACATGAGGAAACCGAGGGACAGAGTTGTGCCTATGTGCCATGCAGCAGGCATTGCACAGTTTTTCCAATCTATTAGTTAAAGAGGGACTGAATGTCAGTAGATGTATAGATGTTTAAGCCAGTTTAGATCACCAAGAATCTATTCCCTTTACCCTGAAAACATCAATTTTCAGTACCAAGCAAAAGGGAGTGAATGTGTTTTTAAATGACTCTTGCCTAATAAAAAAGCATGTCTCGCACTTCAAAGTACATCTGTGACCTTTATGCCATTCATCCCACTGAATATTCACAGCATGACAATAATCCTGAGCAGGAAGTACCTGGTATGTCTCAATAGGTCTGTTCTCCATGTTAAGGTCCCAAACCTTGACAGTGAGATAGTCCCTGGTCATGATGAATCTCCCACTGTGACTGAACTTAACATCAGAAATTGAAGAGATGATCTCAGAAAAAAATGATCTGTTACTCGGGTCTTCGGGCTCTTCAAAAACTGTGCAACACACAAAAAGATAATTGTCATATAATATAGTCATGGCAGAAATAATTAAGGTTTAGAACAAGTATTATTTTTACATGTGGAGTGATTTGGTATCAAAATATTCAAAAGTTGTGACATTTAAGACATTTCTATATAATATAGTAGCTCTGGGATGGGCTGATTCATGAGGCCACAAAGAGTCGGAAGCGACTGAACAAATGAACAACAACATAGTAGCTCTCTTTTCATGGAAAGAAACAGAATGTAAGCACTACAAACACAATGGACAAAAAAATGAAAATAGGTCTTGCAGTTCTATATATTTTTACCTGGGAGTCAGTCTCATTAAAAACAATGGCTCCTATATCTCTGTAAACACATACCAAAATATGGTACAAGTTCCACTGAAACCAATGCAATGTGCACATATAAATTTTAAAGTCTCATTAGATTCAATCTCACCAAGAACCCAGTTGGAAATATCTGGAGGTTTGGGATCAGATTTTTTAGTCTTTCAAAAACATTTACACAGTAGTAATATGTATGTTTGAGTATTTTGTGTGTATGCACAAATGTGTGTGTGATTCAAATGGAACAGTGGTATTCATGGCTTGAACATTTTCTCCATATTCACAAAGTTATCATGGACACCTTAACATTTATCTGAAAAGTGTCCTAAAACATTTTGAGATGTTTCAATTCATTCCAATTGTATGGTTCGAACCACAACCATGCTTGGAACAGACTGGCTGAAATCAATAGAGTCATGATTGAATTCTATCCTCTATGATCTGAAATTGTATTGAGTTGCCAGAGGATGCTGATGCAATTCTGGGGTATAAGTCTATTTTCCTAATGATAATGAGGGTAAAATAAATAAAACTTTCCTGAAAATTCAACATTTGAGTAATTTCTAATATTTCTAAATTTTCAGGAGAAAGAAAAGACCCTAATCATTAGTTTTATTTTTTATTGAACAAAATCGGCACTTAATTTTTTTCTGCCCAAATGTCCTTAGTTTTATGTAAAATACACATTTAAAAACCAAGATTTTGATGGTTTTTATTGTGTGATTTCTTGACTTCCTTCCCAAGATATCCACTCCCATTTTCTGTTACAGAAATGTTGCCCTCCATGAAGGTTTCTGGTTCCTCTTGTACATTTACAAAATGTGCGTCCTACTTTTAGGATAGAGAGGTCATATCATGATGATGTAGACATTGCCAGCTGATTTGGTATGATTCTGGTAAGATATGCAATTCTCACTCAGCCTTGGAAAGAAGTCACCATTCATTTAAACAAGAGCCATAGAGCCATCAAAGAGTAGAATAAGAAGAACTTGTCTTAACTCTGACAGCAGTCTAGGAAATGAAAAGCTTTATGAGTCAGTCAATACATTGAGCTAGCCAATGGCAATCAATACAGAATAGCTATAGCAATCTTGTTTGCTTTATGTAGAAATAAATCAGGATGTGAATTGCCCATGAAAACAGATTAATGAAGCACTGCAGGTTGTTAATTATTTTTCAAAAACCCACCAAATGGACACATGACTTTGTCTGAATCTACAGTGTGTGTGTGTGTGTGTGTGTGTATGTATGTGTGTGTGTGTGTATGCTCTGTTAGTTTTGAGGGACATCATAACTCAAAATCTGCTGGACGAATTGCTGCCAAATTTGACCACAGGACACCTACTAACCCAAGGAGTGACCATCACTCAAAATTTTGATTTTGTCATTTGGGAGTTGTAGTTGCTGGGATTTATAGTTAACCTACAATAAAAGAGAATTCTAAACTCCACCAATAATTGAATTGAACCAAACTTGGCACACAGAACGCCCATGACCAACAGAAAACACTAAAAGGGTTTGGTGGCCATTGACCTTGAGTTTTGGAGTTGTAGTTTACCTACATCCAAAGAGCACTGTGGATTCAAACAATGAAGGATCTAGACCAAACTTGACACAAATACTCCATATACTCATATATAAGCACAGATGGAGTTTGGGGGAAATAGACCTTGACATTTGGGAGGTGTAGTTACTGGGATTTATAGTTCACCTACAATCAAAGAGCATTCTGAACTCCACCAACAATAGAATTGGGCCAAACTTCTCACACAAAACCCCCATGACCAACAGAAAACACTGTGTTTCTGGTTGTCTTTGGAGACCCTTCTGACACCCCCTCGTGACCCCCCCAGGGGTCCCGACCCCCAGATTGAGAAATGCTGCCTTAAGGCCAACCAGTACAACTCCCTTCACCAGCGCAAGAAAACATAACCAAAGCCCTGCTGACAAAGAGCCATCCAGCCATATAGATAGATAGACAGACAGACAGACAGACAGACAGACAGACAGACAGACAGACAGACAGATATGATTCACACACACACACACATATGGCAGATATAACATCATAGATTTGAAAGGGATTCCTAAAATGATAAGTTGCATGTTCCAGAGTAGGCAAACCAATTTCTACACCAACACTGACAAAGAAATAACAAGGAACACTGTTTACCCGCACGCATAAAGAAATTACATATATTAGAAACCAACACTTTCTCATTACTTTATTTTCCAGATCACCAGACTGGGCCACAACAACGCGTGGCAGAGGATGGCTAGTACCTTATAAAAATATGAATGAATATAAATGTTACTGTATATTACAGTAAAGTTTGAGAAATGGATCCTCCATTGACTACATACTCTTTAGATGTGACAGCTGGTCAAATGGAGTTTTTAAAACACATGCACATACACATCCTTTTTGTTCATATATGAATTCTTCAGTATCCACTGCATGTTGTTACCCTCTCCACAAAAGAGAATCATGGAATCAAAGAGTTGGAAGAGACTTCATGGACCATCAAGTCCAACTCCTTGATCAATGCAGGATTCAACTGCACTGTGCATAATTTAAATTGAATTCCTCTTTTCCCTTCCCAAGTGGGATTCATAATTAGAATTCATCTAACACAAATTTGTAAAATGCAAAGATAAAGCATACAAGATAAAGCAATAAGGAAAACTGGCAAACTTTAACATTCCTAGCAAGTCGAACGGAAAGTGCCTTAAGCAGATTTGGAAAAGTGATTGTTGACTCCAACTCTCAGAATGATGCCTAGCCAACATGGTTGGGGATTCTTGGAGATGCAGTCCTGAAAGTAACTTTCTATGCTTTGGCAGGAGTGCTGTATGCTTGCTCTTGGAAAGGTAATGACCTACGTAATAAATATACTGGCACCGACCAAAAAAACCCAAACAAAAACAAACCAACAACAGAACACTGAAATTGGGAGTAAAAATACCTGCTTGACAAACTGAGAAAATCCAGTTAAAGCAAAAATTATTTTCTCAGCACAAACATTTCGTTAGCCTCATTATCCTGTAAAATAACTGAATGCTGAGCTCTGAATTCCTAATTTTTTGATACTGTATGCATAAGAGAAAGAGGGGGCGAAAAAAAATCTGAAGTGCCAAGATAAATGATCTCTCAACAAATCTGAAATGGCATTCCTCACAGCAGTCTCCAGCTTGCGGTCCTTTAGTTGCCAGCGGGAAATCTGATGACTTGCAGGTTTTTGAAGAATAAAAATAAAAACATCAACAGCAGAAAAAAACCCACAAGATCTGAGGTGGCTTGTGCAAAGCCTCTAACTTCCATGGAAGCATGTTGGGCTGTAATAATTATAGGCTCAGGCACACACCAGGGGGCAGGATTTGGGAGGAATTTTTAATAGCTGCATCATTTCTGTGAGTTCTGTTAGGTGTGAGATGGAGCCAAATTTGGCAGCACAAAAGTGACATGCAGAGGCATGAAGCTGATGGTAAAAGAAAGATATAATCTGCAACCACCACCAAATGTCAAAACTAAAGTCACATGAGAAATTTAGTGGCAGCCTATATGCTATGTGGGCAATTTCCCGATCCAGCCAGTGCCAGCATCTTTATATCTGGATAGGATTGAAGTGTTGGGGTGGTGGTAATCTTTCCACTGTTGTCTTGATCTAATCTCCCTCAAAGCTGCCGTTAGTCCTAAAGCTGGTATCAGCTGCACAGTAATAAATGATAGAAGTATCCACCTATCTTTCAGACATGTCAATATGTACACACACCAAACATATGGTCACACATTTGTATGTATACCATTATTTTTGTACATGCATGCAATGTAAATTAGAACAAAAATCAGGTAAAACAATGGGGTATTTCCATGTAGGACACAGGATCATATACCGAGGCAATGTAAATAAGATTCAAGTGATAGGTCCATTCTTTGTAACTGGTCTCACTTGCCAGAATTTCATTTTTCACTCTGCCCAGACAGTCTGGATAAGGATTACTTGTACAGACAGTAGGATTTAGAACTGGACTTCAATTTAGACTTCCTTGAATTGAGCCTACTTCTGAACTCTGCTGCAAAGCCCCCTCTTCACAATATGTTTACTCAAGACCATGTTAGAACAATCCCTGCTTTGTGCTTTGTTCTTCAAGAGGAAGAGATAAAATAGCCTCCTTCCCATTTTCTGTCTTCATGATTTGCAATTACTATCAATGCAAAGTGAAAATTGGAAACAGAAACCTGTGAACTGTCTTGTTATCAAAGACCAGATGGTACTTCTTTACTCAAATACATACATATATTTTAGAAATAAATCTCTTACTCCCGGAGACTTAAAGGGTGCCATGACAACTGGTGTTGAGGAAGCTTTACACCCCATCATCACCTATTAATGGCCTGTTCTAATCAGCAGAAGGAGGTAGGCATCAGTCCAAAATTGAGACAGCAAGTTTGGGTCCCAATAAAAATCACTATTGAATAGTAGGGATATTATCTGCACTACATGTTATTACTTGGGTAAATTGAAAAATAGCAATGCAAGGACATAAAGGACATGCTCAATGAAATCAAAGGCCTAACGAGTGTTCACAGAAGGGTAAACCAAGTGCTTATAGAAATCCATCAGCAGGACATGGGTGGAGCTACATCATCCCATTTATGCTTCCCAGCAACTGGTGTATGGAGCATACTGTTTCTGAAACTTCAAGCCATTGTTGGCTCACAGCTATGTTTATCCAATTATTGGAGAAGACATTTTTATAAAGCTAACAAAAATGTTACAAAGCGGTATGCAAGTACTTGTGTCCTTCACTGGGCTGGTTGATATTGAAGATAGGTAACTTCTCTCTTTTACATGAAAGGTGCATGAACTCTCACAGAGGTGAGCCAATCTTAAAAATGCAACATGCTAACTTGTGAGAACAAGTAAAGTTTTTTCCTATCTAGGCTAATCGGGGCCCTTTCGTGAAGTGGGGGAATTGCTATTCCAGGTCTAGAATGAAGGAGATTCTAGTCCTGCCTGTAACAGCAAAAAGAGTAAAGAGTTCTCTCTTTTCTTCAGTCTTCCAAAACTGTCCCATAAGCCTACATAGTCTCATAAGCACACAGTTCAATTGCTTTTAAAAGCTATATATTCTGTTCCTATCTATTTTATAACCAGAGCTTTCTCTTCTTGTTGTGTTTATGGCCTCATCATAAAGGCACAAAGTCTTGTCCTTCGCAGTCTTTCAGGAAGTGTATGACAAGGACGGGCATCTCAGAGAAATATGGCTAATCCCTCTCCTAAAATGACATTTCATTCTCCATATATATAGGCATGGCTGACAATTTTCCCCATAATGGGGACAAAACCTGGCAATTTTCCTGCAGTGCAAAAGAGATGACAATTTTTTATTTCAGATAGGTGGTAAGCAGCAATCCCCCTCATCAAAAGAAATTGCACTATGAACTTCCAAAAATGCTATGAACTTGCAAAAGAAGGTAGACAACAAAACCCTAGCATTCGAAGACACAAAAGAGGGCTCAAGATAGAATCGGGAGGACTATGAATTGAATCTCAGGGTGGTGGGGAGGGAAGAGCTGGATTTTTCCCCCAGTAATTTAATTCCTGTAACAAATGTATCCAGAGATGTGACCTTGATGCTACAGCACAAGCATCTTGGCTACATTTCCCCCCATCGCTCCTCTGCAGCAACCACCTGCCAAGGATGAAAATAGTTCTAAAAAAGAAAGACTTCTTTCTAGGAGGAACAGCATGTAAGTCTGGACAGCACGGGACAGGCAAGGCTGAGCAATAAAGTTGCTTCCAGGTCGACGAGTCGGTTAAGTGGGTCCACTATTTTATGTTGTTGAACCTCCCATTAAATCTACAAAGGCACAGAGAGCCTCAGTTAACACTACCGTACGTTGCACCCATATTCTCCTTCTTCATTTTACAAACACTGGAGTGGGATGTGCTAAACTACCACCTGTATTTTCATTAAATGCAAATCCTTATCAAATATTTCCTCTGAATAAATTCTAGGCCAGAGTTGCTTCTTTTGATTTGAATCTTGATGAACTGTCTCTATTCTGACTTGTATGTCTGCTGAACCGCAATTGACTGAGGGCCAATGCTTCTGAAGGATAGGAAAAAATCAATAAGAGACGTCAAGGGAGAGGTCAAATTGAACGTGTTTTCGCAATTGGCTTGTATGCGCTCTAAAGGACACTGCAGCAGCAGCAGAACAAAGGAACAAACCAAGCCAAGGTCTTTCAGTGATGAAAAGTGCAAGAAATTAATCTAGCTTGCTTCTTAATACTCATAGTATAAACTCAGACTGGGCTCTGGTGGGATATAATAACCAGCACTGGAAGGAGGGAAATCCAATGAACGCCAATGCTAGTTATCAGGATGTAATAATATGCTTGGTATAATCAAATAATTGTATTGTCAAAGATTTTCATGGCTGGAATCACTGGGTTGTTGCAGGTTTTTCGGTTGTGTGGCCATGTTCTAGAAATATTCTCTCCTGATGTTTTGCCTGCATCTGTGGCAGGCATCCTCAGAGGTTGCCTGCCACAGATGCAGGTGAAACATCAGGTGGGAATGCTTCTAGAACATGGCCATACAACCTGAAAAACCTACAACCCAATAAAATAATGGGCTTTTATTACATTTTCCACTAAGTGGAAGAGATAAGACTGTAGCCTGTTTACTAGGGGTTAAGGGATTGATCTGCACATCCATTGCAAACTACTGCAGTGCTTTAGATGACAGAAGCTGTTCTGTTCAATGGAAACATTACCCTTGGAATAAAAAAACTCTCTAGAAAAACTTTCATCATATCTCATCTATGCCAGAACAAAATATAAATAATAAATAAATAGGAAATGAGTCTTTAAGAGATTGCTTTCCATCAGGTTCAATAATTCTGAAGCCATTTTGAAAGTATTTTTGCATTCATCTCCTTGTAAAGTCACTGAAACAGAGATATTATTTCACTTGAGAAAATGGAAATAAGATAATGTATAGAAGGTGACCATGCACAGAAAAAGAAAACATTTAGTGAAAAGGAGGATTAACTATGCTCAATAACAGTTATAGGAACAATGGGTGACATGTATCAGGCCTGCATGTTCCCTGTTCCTCTTCCTTTGTCCAGATTGCTAGAGACAAGTGAAATTGGTTTTTCCCCCCTCAGTGTAAAATAGAAGCTAAATTTTGCAATATTCTCCTCTTGAGTAGAACAGGGGGACAGGAAGGTACAGTCAAGTCTTGCTACTGCTCACTATTGTAACAATGCGCCATGGTTGGTGTTCAGGTGTTAAAGAACCCTTAGTGTTTAGCATAATGTTGTCTGTGCTTTTTTAGATATATGAGCTGCTGAATCTAGGGCTCAGAAAACAAGGGGGAAAAGGGGCAGTTGGGTTAAAATACCCTCTCACTTCTAGATATAATGCAGCCATTCCACCAAAACACATGGCTTGTTGTATCAAATAGACACTCCTATTGGGATAGTTCACTAGGATTGTTTTCCCACATATTTCAAGAACAATTTAAATCCTGGGTCAAATTTACCTAGACTGTTATTCAACTCCTGAAGTAATTATCTGCATCAAAGTTAATCTGGATTAATTCACCCATGTAGATAAAAAACAAAAGGCAATGTAACAATTATATTTGAACTATTCAGATTCAATATACAATCCTGTTACCTAATTATAGAACATGACTGTACTCAAAAAGAGACATTTCCAGCTTACCAAATTGAACTGAAATGAGCATTATTTCTCATGTAAGAGACAAAACTCAATGTATAGGTGAATTGAAAAAAAAGGGGGGGGGGTAAGTGATTCTATCTAGTAGGGCTGGGCGGTTTCGTTTCGTTAATTCGTAATTCGTTAATAATTCGTTAATTTTTTCAATTACAAAACGATAACGAACCATTCTGGAGCAATTATTAAAAAAAATGAATTTTCAAAAACGTTTTGTAAATGCTTCGTATTTCGATATTGTATTCGTTTCGTTATTGTTTTGAGGTCGTTTCATTATTATTTCCGCATGTCTGGGCCAGTTTTATGGTTTAATTAGTGAAAAAAAATTATAATATCACACCAACAGTCAACAACAGAGGGAGAGGGAAGCTTCAGAAGGTTTTGGAGGTTTTTTAGCGTCTTGCGGTCGCGTCCGCCATTAACGAATCGATTCGTTATTGTTTCGGAAATCGATTCGTTAATTTTTTTAACATTTACGAAATTTCGTAAATATCGAACTTTTTAAAAGGAAAATTTTGTAATTATTTTAAATATCGAAACAAAAAAACCCCCCAAATACAAATCGATTTTAGAAACAAATTTTTCCGTTGTTACCCAGGCCTACTATCTAGTATTCAGCATATGGTGAAAGCAAGGATATGATTTTGTAACGGGCTTCTAGCAACCTTTGTGGCAGTGTGTTAAATGACTGGGACATTGTTAGCTAGATGAGTCATGAAACTTTTGCAAACACAATCACATCACCATATGCTGAACAATGCATTGTTGTTGTTTGTACCCTCAATATATATATATATTAATTTATGGCTATTTTAAGGTCAACCTATCATAGGTTTATCTCAGTGAGATCTGTTCAGAGGGGGTTTGCCATCACCTTCTTTTGAGGGCAAGAGAGTGTGACTCATCCATGGTCACCCAGTAGATTTCCATGGTCAAGGAGGGATTCAAATCCTGGTTTCCCAGTATCCTAGTCCAACACTCAGAGAAAGTTCCAGTGAAACCCACTTTTAATAGCCATATTGGATCACGTGAAAAAACCTTCAAGTATTTTAAATAATTTGGGGTTTTTTTCTTACAGAAAGCAGTACTGGAAGCACAATTTAATAATACTGACCTTTAATACAAGTTTTGCATGTAAAAATATAGCTAATTCAAAGTTAATGTTACAAAGTAATTTTATCCACTTTGCCCGGATAAAATGGAACCACTTAAAACTACTGCATATTTCCCTTTCAATACAATAGGAAGTAATGAGGTGGCCAGATTTCTTATACATTAAAGCAACTATCTGTTAATGCTTGTGGCAATCTCTCCTCCTTGTACATTCAGGGATTTGAACCACCTACTTTGAACTTTCATTTTGACACGAAACAACCCCTAGAAGCTGTTAGAGAATCCAGTAATCCCGATATTAACAAATGGTTTTGGTGTTGCTTGTTCCAGCAGAAAGATAGGTTTCCTTGTACAGATAGAGTGACAGGCAAGATAAATGCACAGGTATTCAGTATGTTAGTTAGGAAAATGAAAGGGTGTTTTTGTATTTGTTATTACCAAGCATGAGTGGAAAGAGGATATTTCATATTAACTCCCTGCTGGTATATATAGTGTCAGGAAAAAAACCCTAGAAAATTGATAATTGAGGATGCATTTCCTTCTTCCCTTTGCATAGTAATAGAGAGCATATCATACAAAATAACATAAAATCTATTTAATTCATTCCTCCTCTAAGGAATACTCACATTTGGAGTGCCGGTCACATAGGGCAGAGGCTCGCATGTCACACAGTCTTATTGTCCCCTTGCTGCTGCTGTAGACGAAGGTGTTGCAATGGTGTGGATGAAATTCTGCAGCAGTTATCACTTCTGTCAGCTCCTCCATGTTTGCTGGTTTTATATCTACAATATCTGGCACAAGTGAATCAAGGCAAAGCAAACAGTACAGAGCAGATTTTTCTCAATACTATGATCCAGTCTAGAATAGGAGAGAAGATTGTCCAGTCTGGATCTCTGTTATGAAATACCCACTCAGTGAGTAATGTTCTGCAGATACTATTTCTTAGAACTTTAGACTAACCCATGGTTTATGAGGAAGATATTAAATCTAGCATGTTTTAAACAGCCCTCAGAACCTAGTTAGTTATTTTACACCTGGCTTAAGTTCTCTATGCAAACTTTCCCAGATGTCCTTTCAACTCCTTGTTAGAAAAGATTATATCTCAGCAATTTATATGGAAATAATTCTGGTGCCCTTCACCTAAATATTGTATAAGAGTCATTTTACACATGCCTGCATTTCATTATAGGAAGACTTTAAAAATAAGTTGCAATGGGCATAACAGAAATGAAGATTTCAATGCAACACCCTTGGCTGCACATCTCGCGCATGACCCTGTTCCCTTTTTCTAACCTGGAGAAAGAAAAGTATTTCCCACCACAGCCCAATTCCTCAGAAACTGTTTCCAAGGCTATTTTTCAGAACTCAGAGGCAACTCAGAGACTGCATCCCCTTGTATGAGCCTGCCCAGACCCTGAGATGTTCAGGAGAGTCCCTTCTCTCGGTCCCACCTCCATCTCAAGCTCAGTTGGTGGGAAAGAGAGAGCAGGCCTTCCTTCTTGGTAGCTGTCCCTCGGCTCTGGAACTCCCTGCCCAGGGAAGCCAGAATCCCCCCCCCCCCCGCTGTACTTCTGGCGGCAGGCTAAAACCTATTTATCCAGACAGGCTTTTAAAGATGAAGGTACAGTGTTTAAGAACAGGAGTGCTGTTTAACTTTGAATATGTTATAATGGATTTTAACTGTGATTTTTAAATACTGATATCTAATTCTGTTTCTAATGTTTGCATTTTTGTATATTTTAAATTGTATATTCATGCTTTTAAGCTAAGCCTCTTTGAGTGTCCTCCGAGAGAGATAAATCAGGGTATTAATAAATAAATAAATAATAATAATAATAATCATCATCATCATCATCATCCTAGGTTTCATACATGTGCTCAGTTAACATAAACTCTATCAGCGCTCCCTCCCTCTCTCCCTCTCCATGCATGTTTTGTTCACAATCAGGGCAGCAAGAAGTATAAAAAGGAAGGAGGGGTTCTGTCCTTTCAATGTTGAGTACATGAAGTGGACAGAGATTTTAACTTGACAGTGAGCTGTCATTCTATCACATTAATTAACAGAGAGTACATGAAGCACACTTCGTTCAAAATGTGGACAAGGCACAATTTCTTCTAGTTGAAGGAGCTTTCAACACATACTATTTAGCCTCTATCAATATGAATGCCTCATGCATCCTCCTGGTTCATCATAGAGTGGTGTTGATGGATGTTGCTTCACAAGCGCTTTCCTTTATCTGCTTAGGCATTGACTCAGAATTACTCCTAACTCATTAGTCAACTAGGTTGCCTCCTGGCCAACATACAATAGATTTTTCTATTTTAGAAACAAAATCAACTGATAACACCAGGGGAAATAATCTGAATAAATAAACAAACCAATCAAACAAGATGAAAGAAAGAGGAATACCACTTAAAATGCCAGTCATTTTCACTTATGAAAATGAGAAGTTATTTGCTCCTGTTTTTCTTCCTTTGTTCCTTGAATCAGGCCAGATATTGCTTACTTTAAATTTTCTGCTAGTATAACCCAGGGTATCTAGGTCAAAATTACCATAGATACTCAGTAAAATTACATTCTGGTAACTGTGCAGCTCCATTATAAGGAGGCCAAGGAAGCCCAAACACCAGTATCTTAACATTTTTGAAACACTATGTATGGACACGGACAGCATATGACAACTATTACCATAGTGTCCATAGCCTCAACCCCCACCCGCACCCCCCAACATCCTGTTATTAGAAGTCTCCATTGTGTATCATAGAATCAAAGAGGTGGAAGAGATGACAAGGGCCTTCCAGACCCCTGTCATGCATATACATTGTTGACTTCTAAGATCAAAATTTCTTCATAGACCTGTTGCATTCTGGATACATCATCATTTTTGGTCATGGTATCTTGTAATCTTAATGCATAGCAAGGTAATATATTTACTAGGACAAAGCAAAATGAATTAATAATTGTCAGATGTTAACCAAAACAGGGCAGAGCAAGATAGGGCCTACTACACCCTACACACTACCTTCCCATACTGGAAAGGTAATCTGAAGGGTTCCCATGTGTCTCTGGCTGTACATTCAGCCAAGTATAACTACTGCCTTCCCAAATGGATGCTTCTTATGCTAGCAATGAGAAAACACTAGCCAGCTATTCTACCCTCTTCTTCTTAATGGGTTTACTGTAGCAAGGGGAAAAAAGACAGAAATGATTAGAAAACAAAGGATGATTGAAAATAGAAAATATCACCTTCTGAAGTACTATACACACACAATTAAGTGAAAGTCTAAAATCAAAGTTTTCTTAGATTTCCCTTTTGGACTTTTCTACTCAACATGAAAAGCAAAGTGGACAGATCTGTAGTCCCCACCCCACCCCTGCCAACACACATTTTTATCCCCTCTACATGTTCTTGAAGAAATCAAAACAGCCTTTCTTTTCACATATTGAAAAAGCTTTAAAATGGACTCCAGATCTATTTCAACCTTTGTGCTTTCAATATTGTCCCTCACTCTTCTTGGCATATCTTTCCACCATCGTCTAGCCTTATTAAGAGTTCTGGAGAACAAAAGGGTCACTCACTATTTGGGCATTTGACTGATCCCTTGAAAGCTATTGTTGTACAGAAGATTTTGGATTTAGTAAATGGCAAACTAGTTAAGGGTATCAATAGAAGTAAAAATAACTTATCACTGTGTGTCAGGCACGTTGTGCTGCGCTTATTCCTAGAGGCTGCATGAATCTGTTAAAATCAGAATTTGATGGGACATGTCTATTGAAAAACACACCCCTGAATAATATTTTGTGCTTGACAGATCTTTTGGGACAGAAATACACTTGAAATGTCTGATTTTGATGCTCTATTCAGTTCTCAAAAGGATTTCAAACTTGACAGATGATCAAAAAACATGTTTGGCTTTGAGAGGACAATAAATAAATCCTTCCTGTTTGTAAGTATTCCTTGGGCCCAAGTCAAATAATGAGAAGATGGGATATGGATGCATCATGGCTTTTCTATGATCAAAATGTCCCTGCATGCTGGTAGCTGAAATGAAGTTGAGTTACAACAACACAGATCTAATTGTTCCTTCCCTGCAACAAGCTTCCTGTCTTGAGAGAGCTTTAGTTTAAACGGGACTGTTTAAGACCTCCTTTTCAATAGTCCCTTCTATCCTCAAAAGAAGATCATTTGCTGGTAAAGGCAGTATGCTAATGTGTTAAAGACAATAATCTTAAATCTGAGGTATCACTTTGAGAAAAGTAGTGGAAAGCACCTTTTTGAAAACAAAAAATTTGACTATAAAATTGTTACCTTCTCCTATGTAATGAGGAGTACCTGTTGCATTGATTGACAGATATGTATTTTAATTGCTATATGTTTAGATTGTTTTATATTTTGAGAAGTGTTTTATTGTTTACTGGTGTGGCATTGAATTTTTACTGGCTTTGTAAGCTGCCTTGAGTTCCTTCTGGGGTCGAGAAAGGCGGCGTAGAAATGAAGTAAATCATGGAATCATAGAATCCTAGAGTTGGAAGAGACCTTGCGGACTGTCTAGTCCAACTCCCCACCAAGAAGCAGGAAATAAATAAACAAATTCTTTAAATAGAGTAAAAAAAAATCTTTGATGCCATGTTGAGTTTTTCCCACCACATCTTGGGTCTTTTAAAACTCTTGTAAGCATTTTCAAAAGAAACATATAATGTAAGCAGTCATATAATGTGTCACCCAACAAATAAGAGCAAATTATCTCTTTGAAAATGCAACAAATAAAGGTTACAATTTATTTTTAAAAATTAATAACACTTAAGCTCTAGAAGCCACCTTTACACCCTGTTTATTGTTGTTCATTTGTTCAGTCATCTCCAACTCTTCGTGACCTCATGGACCAGCCCACGCCAGAGCTCCTTGTCGGCTGTCATCACCCCCAGCTCCTTCAAGGTCAAGCCAGTCACTTCAAGGATGCCATCCATCCATCTTGCCCTTGGTCGGCCCCTCTTCCTTTTTCCTTCCACTTTCCCCAGCGTCATTGTCTTCTCTAGGCTTTCCTGTCTCCTCATGATGTGGCCAAATACTTCAACTTTGTCTCTAGTATCCTTCCCTCCAGTGAGCAGTCGGGCATCATTTCTTGGAGGATGGACTGGTTGGATTTTCTCGCAGTCCAAGGCACTCTCAGAACTTTCCTCCAACACCACAGCTCAAAAGCATCGATCTTCCTTCGCTCAGCCTTCCCTAAGGTCCAGCTCTCACATCCGTAGGTTACTACAGGGAATACCATGGCTTTGACTAGGCGGATCTTTGTTGCCAGTCTGATGTCTCTACTCTTTACTATTTTATTGAGATTGGACATTGCTCTCCTCCCAAGAAGTAAGCGTCTTCTGATTTCCTGGCCACAGTCTGCATCTGCAGTAATCTTTGCACCTAGAAATACAAAGTCTGTCACGGCCTCCACATTTTCTCCCTCTATTTCCCAGTTGTCAATCATTCTTGTTGCCATAATCTTGGTTTTTTTGATGTTTAGCTGTTTCATGTTTACACCCTGAATAAACCCAATTTTGTCTTATTTTGAAAGCTCAATATTTGAAAGGAAGACACCAGGGAATATTAGTAGGCCTGTTAAAGGTTTGCATTTTAAACCGCATATTGCTATTACTGTCAGTCAGAGCTGACAATAACTGGGTTAGATAGAACAATGATTCAATATAACACAACTTCCAAAGTTTCTTTAAGCCCTGGCCTTGAGGATGGTACACTGCTGGACCTGCCATGAGCGGAGAAACCCTTCATAGCTACAA